ACGAGAGAAGAACGAGCGCTGCAAGGATGGAGGGCCTTCCGGCGGCAGCAGCGGCGACCCGGGCGCTGCGTCTGCTGGCGGTGGCGCCGCCGCTAGCGCGCTGCTCGAGCCAGCCGAGCTGCTGGCACCCCCTGCGCCTGCTGCCGGCGGCGGCGCCGCTGGCGCGCTGCTGGCGCTGCCTGAGGCAGGCCGCGCGTTGGCTGCTGGGGCCGCGACGAAGTCTACGTCGTCGTCGCTGTCGCACCCGAAATCCAAGTCCGCGGCGCTCACGGCCGGCAGCTTCGCGAAAAAGTCAGTCGACGTGCCGACGGTTCCAGCCGCGTTCACCGCGTCGAACACGCCCTGAAACCGCTCCAGCAGTTTGAACGCCGAAGTGTCTGGGCTGAAGGCGCAATCCATCGAGGTCGGCTGGTAGTTCGCCCGCGCCCTTGTCATCTGGAGCACACCCCTACAGGCCGCGCCGCCGCCCAACCCCGCCCCGCCCCACCCGGGCGCCCCCCCCCCATGCCTCATGGCCCATGGCCACGCCTTCATAATCGCGGCCCCTGGGGCGCCCCCCCGCCAGCGACTCCAGCGAAAACCGAAACGCCAGAGATCTGGGGGGGGGGGGGGGGGGGGGGGCGAAACGGGCGAGGGGGGTGGGGTAGACGGGGCGCGACCAGCATGGCCTCGAGCACGCCCTCCATGACCGCGCGCGGGCCCATCATCTCATACACGGTAAGCTCGCAGATGGGCGCGCGGTGGTCGGCTGAAACACCCGTGCGCATCGGTCGCAATACGAGCCGCTGCCCCTTCTTCGGAACGGCCCCAGCCAACAGGCGCTCGACAACGGAGACGTGGTTCAGCACGACAAGGCGACCGTGAGACTGGCTGAAACGCACCGTCTTTCCGTCGTCGGGGCTGTGACCTGAGCGGGGGATAAAGGCCATCAGGACGAGAGGGGCACGGCGAGGTGGATGCGGAGGCGGAGGAGGATGAGAATGTGGGCGAGGTGGCGGCGGCGGGCGAGGAGGGAAACGGCGAGGTGGAGGAGGCGGCGGCGGGCGGCGCACGAGGCGAAGAGGGGGGGAGGGACGGAGGAGCACGGACGAGGAGGGCGAGGAGGGTGAGGCACAGATGGGGCTAAAGAAGAACTGAGCCGGGCAACAGAATCCCGCTCCTCCCCCTCCCCTCCTCGTACCCCCTCCAACTCCTCAGTCTCCATCCTCATTCCCGCCCGCCCTACCCCCGCCCTTCGATTCCTTAAAGGGGGAGGGCGGGGCATGAAGGGTGTACGCGTGTATGTGTGTGTGGGTGCGTGCGTGGTTGTGTGTGTGTGCATGTGTATGTGTGTGTGTGTGTGTGTGTGTGCGTGTGCGTGTGCGTGTGCGCGTGCGCGTGCGTGTGCGTGTGCGTGTGCGTGTGCGTGTTGCGTGTGCGTGTGCGTGTGCGTGTGCGTGTGCGCGTGCGGTGTGCGTGTGGTGTGCTTGGTGCGCGTGCGTGTGCTTGCGTGGCGTGCGTGCGTGTGTGTGTGTGTGTGCGTGTGTTGTGTGGGTGCGTGGGTGCGTGTGCGTATGTGCGTGTTGGCGGTGGTGCGTGCGTGCGTGCGTGCGTGCGTGCGTGTGTGTGGGTGTGTGCGTGCGTTGTGTGTGTGTGCGTGTGTGGGTGTGTGTGTGCGGGTGCGTGTTGCGTGCGTGATGTGTGTGTGTGCTGTGGGTGCGTGTGTGTGTGTGTGTGTGGGGGGGGGGGGGGGGGCTGGCGGGTGCATTAGTCCCTCGATGACCTGCTAGAAAGAGCGCCAGCTTCGGGTTTGCGCCCCGAGCGTAGGCGCACCAGAAGTACTCGCTGCAGTGGATGGCCTCTGGGTTGCCCTCGGCGGTGAGCTCGAGCTTCATCCACTCGAACTGCCGCTTGTGCTTCCACGCGTCATCCGCGAATGCGGCGCCGCTGGCGTAGATGGAGTCGTAGATCGCCCTGTCTTTGCGCATGCGCACGCCGGGATGTCGCTGCCAACAGGCCCGCGTCAACGATATCCTCGTTGCACGCGGTATTCGGCCGCCGTCCACCACGAACGCGGCCTCCTGGAACTCGGCTCTAGCGGCTGGGCCCCGCGCCCGGAACGCGTCGTCGACGTCGCAGCCAGCTGCTGTGAGGAATGCTTGCTCATTGACTGGGGGGCCGCCTCCAGACAAGCCGCACACCGCTCTGCTTTGCTGGGCCGCGGGGGCGTCGGCCCGGGGAAGCCGAGGGGCTACGGCGGCCCGCCCTTGCTCGTGCAAGTACTTCGCGGCAGCGCGCCTGTTCCACGCGTGCTGCTCGGCATCGGGCAACAGGTCGAACTGTCGTTTCAAGGCCGCTCTCTCGGACAGCATCTGCTCCCGCGACCGCGGCGCCGCCCTTCGTGGGCTTGTTTTCCGCAGACTCCTCCTCCTCCTCCTCCTCCTCCTTATCCTCCTCCTCTCCCTCACTCCTCCTCCTCCTCCTCCTCTCCTCCTCGTCCTTCCTCCTTCCCCCTCCCTCCCCCTCCTCCTCCTCCTCTCCTCCCCATTCTCCTCCTCCCCCCCCCCATCCTCCTCCTCTCTCCCTCTCCTCCTCCTCCTTCCTCCTTCCTCTCCCCTTCCTCCCCCTCCTCCTCCCTCCTCATCCCCCCCCCCTCCTCTCGCCCCGCGCACGTCCACGCCGCCTCGCCGCCACACTCCGACACGTCATCATCATCAGCCACCCCCCAACACCTCGTCGTCGGCGTCGGCCTCGCATCGCGCCCCTCTCGCCCGCATCCCCCCGCCCCCGCCCCCCCCGTCAACGGAAAACAAGCCCATTAGTCCTGCTAGAACACGGGGGCTCCTTCGCGTGCACGAAGAGCATCCAGCCGGGGGCCGCTTTGCAAGGCGCTGCTGACCCGCGACGCAGCTCTCCTCGGCCGTCTCCCAAGGGGACCCCCTGGTCGAGCAACTCTGCCCGGTGCTGGTCCCTGGGGTCAGCGCCGCCATCGCGAAGATGCTCCGACAGACATTCGCTCAGGAACGTGTTCACGCGCGCGCGCTCCATGTGCGGGTCGGAGATGTCCGTATTCCGCTTGGCCATGGCGAACAACCTCTCCACCGTCATGTTCGTGACCAACGCGTGGCGACCGAACAGCCGGAAGGCCCTCCAGAACGGCTCGTCGTTCAGCATCTGTTCAGCGCTCTCCCAGCAACCGCGAAGCTTCTTGGCCAGCTTCGGCTCCAAACAACAATCGTCCTCCACGAAGAACTCCTTCACGGCCTGCTTAAGCCCCCCAAGGGTGCCGCTGCTGGCGAGGGTCAGCAAGCGAAATGGCCAGTCGCCCAAGGCCCCGCTAAACCTTGGGCAGCGCAACGATTCAAGGTGCTGCCTCCCCCCATGCGTCTCCATCCTGTCTGCGTCGCTACCCTTGCTTCTTCGCACCATGCCGCCTCCTCCTCCTCCTCGACGCATGGATCCCTCCTCGCACCCGTGGCCCCTCCAACCCGACGCTTGCCATGCCCGCCGTCCTCGCTGCTCCAGCCCCCCCCCCCCTTTTCCCCCGTCTCGCGCGCCGCTGCGCCCTTGCTGTAGCGGCTCCACCCTCGACCTCGCCCTCCCGCCCCCCGCCCCGGCTGCGAACCTCCAGTCGAGCTGCGCGTAGGAGGAGGCGGCGATCTGGAAGACCACGCTCTTCGCCAGGCGGAGGTGCGTCTCGCACTGCGCGTAATGGCGCAACAGGACGCCGAGGCCATCTCCAGACGTGAGCATCGCCAAGAGACGCTTCTGGCATTCCACGAATGGGCTGCACGAGGAGTGGATGACCTAAGGCATCAGATCTCCTCCTCCTCCTCCTCATCATCATCATCATCCGCGTCCTCCTCCTCGCCCTCCTCTCTCATCGTCCCTCCTCCACCTCTACCTCCACCTCCTCATCCACCTGCTCCGCCGCCTCCTCCGTCTCCTCCTCTGGAAGACCGACTGGCGCGATGGCGGTCGATCCGCGGGCGATCGAATGGCTGGATCGACGGTCGGCGATCGCGGCAGCAAAGCCGCCAACGTCAAGGAGACCACTGCAGCGCGCGTCGAGCCACTCGAGACGTTGCCATCGCCAGTGCATGGGCCGCCCCGCAAACATGGTAGAAACCATGCGGACCTTGAACTCCATGCTCCGCATCACGCAACAGCTCCGATATACCTTGCTGGCCAGGTACTTCCTGTAATCTACGGTGTCCGCTTCCTGGCGGTCGACATCCACGCCATCCGTCGACGTCGTCGCCGTCGTCGACTGCATCCGCCATCGTCGTCGCTCGTCGCCGCCCGCCCCGCAGGGGTCCTGGTCAACCAACTGCTGGAGGCGATCCCACCGAGGGAATGCGAGGGCCAGAGCGCGGGCGGCCACGTCATGAATCATGATACCAGGAGCCTGCGAGACAGGCGCGGGAGGGCCGAGATGCTGGTGACGGGGCGGAGCTGCTAGGAGGTCAGGATGGAAGGGTTGCTGATGTGTGTGTGTGTGTGTGTGCGTGTGTGTGGGTGTGTGTGCGTGCGTGCGTGCGTGCGTGCGTGCGTGCGTGCGTGCGTGCGTGCGTGCGTGCGTGCGTGCGTGCGTGCGTGTGTATTGTGTGTGTGTGTGTGTGTGTGTGTGTGTGTGTGTGTGTGTGTGTGTGTGTGTGTGCGTGCGTGCGTGCGTGTGTGTGTGTGTGTGTGCGTGTGTGTGTGTGGTGTTGGTGTGTGTCGGTGTGTGTGCGTGTGCGGTGGCGTGCTGATGCGGGTGCGGGTGCGTGTGTGTGTGTGCTTGTGTGGGTGTGTGTGTGTGTGTGTGTGTAGTGTGTGGGTGTGTGTTGTGTGTGTGTGTGTGTGCGTGTGTGTGCGGGGGGGGGGGGGGGGGGCGGGGGGGGGGGGGGGGGGCGGGGGGATGAGAGCCTGCTGTGCCATTTACTCTCGCCCATATGGCCCCATCTGTTTCTTGCTGGCCGCTGGCGCCTGCCGACAGCAGCGCCGCCCCCCTCCAGCATGGCAGCCAACGCGCCCCCCACCGCGGCCAACCGATTTGCGCACATGCCACAACAGCGCTCGTAATGGACGATCCGCTCGTCGCGGATGTCACCGTTCACGTACTGAGGGATCCCGTCGATCTTGCGTTTGACGACGGCGTGCCCCTGGGCGCCGCTCCCTCAGCATCCCCCTTCCGTTGCCGTCGCGCCGCCTCCTCCTCCTCCTCAGCCCCTGCCCTCGTCAGCCCTCCTGCTCCTCCTCCTCCTCCTCCTCTGCTTTCCTCCCTCTCCTCCTCGCCCTGGCCGCCCCCACCATCCTTGTCTCGTCGCTTCTCCGCCCCCGTCATCATCCCAATCCGGCCCCCCACCCCCCCTCCCGCAGACATGCCCCCCCCCCCCCCCCTCCGTTTCGTATCCAGCCGCCTCCCAGCCCCCCCTCTCCTTCCTATCCTCCTCATCCGCCCAGGGCGCCTGCTGCTCGTTCGCAGCCGCGCCCTCGTTGTCCAGGGCGCCGCGAGCGCCCTTGCCGAGCGAGAACCACAGCACCGCCTCAGCGCGGCCCCTGGCGCCCCTTGGGGGAAGCTCCAGCGCGTTGAACTCGAACGCGCGCTCATCCAGCAGCAGCTTCCCCAAAGCTGTGGCCACGGCGTTGTGGTGCAACGTCGACCGATGCACAGCGGCGTTCGCGTGCACGTCGCCTATGACGCGGCCCCTGCGGGGGCGGCAGGGGGGCGACGGACGGGGGGCGACGCAAAGACGAAGTGCGAGAGGAGGGGTTAGATATGGGGGGGAGGCCGAGGGCGAAGAGGAGGGGCGACGAGGCCGGTGAAGGCATCGAAGGGCAGGGGAGCTGAGGGCGGCACGAAGAGCTGCGAGGGCGCGCAACGCAGGAGGCGAGGGGGGAAGGCGGGGGGGCGGGGGGGGGTGACAAAGGTCCTCGTCCACGGCATGCACCATTGTGGTGTGGACTTGGCGCGCCGCGCACATGTCGATCGGGTTCTCGAAAACGTTGCGGAGCCCCGCCAGCTCGCGATGGATGAAGCCCAAGGCGCGACCGTTCGACGGCGCGGCGTCGGGGACCTGGCTGACAAAGATGCACCCCACCTTTGTTGCAAGATACTGTAAACCCGCCAAGTCGAACGGCCCGCTTGCTCGTTCAACGCCCTCCAAGATGGAGCTCGCCCGCCCGTCCTGCAAGAAGCTCGGCGGCGTCGGAATGTCGACGCGGCCCTCGAGGCCGCCCTGGAGAGGAGGGCAGGGGGGGGGCAGTCGAACCAAAGATGCCAACCAGGGATGCCCCCATCATCATATCATTCTCGACCACACCCCCTTCAGCATGCGCGCCCTCCCCCCCCCCGCTCTTGCCTAGCCCATGCCTCCCCGCCCACCCCTCTGCCCCCGCCTGCCCACCCCGTTCGCTCGCGGCAAAGGTCCGAATCCACCGTTTCGGCGTGAATCTTCACGCCCAGCAACTCCAACGCGCCCTTGTCGGGCAGGCTCGAGCCGCGCCCCGAGGACAGGTACTCCTGCGCGGAAATGGCCTTCCACTTGCCCGTCTCCTCGTCTTTCACCAAGTACGAAGCGCGCGGCGCGACTCTGAGGCCCAACTTGCCAAACCGCACCTTCCAGGGAATGCAGTCGAACCCCCTGGATATCAGCAGCCCCTGTACGCGACGTCCGTCGCCGCCGCTCCAAGCGCGCACGCGAGCCACGATAGCTCGCCGGGTGACCTCCGCCACCGCAGCTGCGAGCCCCATGGAGCGGCGCGTCTTGCCCAGGGCAACCTGGGCGGAAACGGCACTACTACATCATCCTGCCACTCTTCTACCTCATCCGCTGCCTCAGACATCCTTCATTGTCGGCCCGTACTCCTCCCCATCCCCCCAGCCCCCCCCCCCCTCGCATCCTCCTCCACCGCCCCCGACTCATCCGCCGCCCACCCACAGTCTCCCGCTCCATTCGCCGCCCCCCTCTACCCCCGCGCATCCTCCTACCTGGCCCGCTCTGCAACCCCAATGGGGAACCTTCCCAGCCCGCGGCCGCCCGCCGCGGGACACGCTCCTGCACGCGCCAGCCTGGCACTGAGGCAGCGCCCGCTCCCAGGCCCGCCGCTCGCGGCCGCCCTCAGCGGCGCGGCGCTGCCTATAGACGCCCCCGCGCTTCGGAAGGCGGAGGCGCTGACGGGCCAGCGCGAGGTCGCCGACGCGAAGCTGCCTGGGAGGGGAACCGTCTCCTCCCCATGAACCCCTTCTCCTCGTCCTCCCCCGCCTCCCCCGCCTCGTCCTCCACCTCCTCCGCCACCTCCGCCTCCTCCTCCGCCTCCTCCGCCTCGTCCTCCGCCTCCTCCGCCTCCTCCTCCGCCTCCTCCGCCTCCTCCTCGGCCTCCTCCGCCTCCTTCTCCTGGTTCGCGCTCTCCCGCCTGCCCCTGACTCCTAAAAAGCTGTCGTGCTTCGCACTCCCCCTCCTCCTCATGGCCCCCCATTCTGACTCCGCCCATCCGCCGCGTCGCCCTGTTCTTCCCCCGACTTATCCTCGTTCCCCT